TTATTACTCCTTTTACTTTTGCCAAGTTCTTAAGTACTGTAGTTTTGAATGCATCATAGTTTGTCATTCTTTAACGTGCTCTAAATCTCTAACGATAGATGGTTGCTATAAAACGCTTTTATTCTTGCACAGTTACGTCAAGAACTGTTATCAACCGAACAGGCTTCTAGCAAAAATTACGTTAGAGTAATAAGTTTATTTGCAACGAAGTTTTTTCTGGAATCAAGGCACTGGTTTTCGATTAAAATTTGCACATTAATTTGTTATATATTTTTTCATTTAATTATCTCAACATTTTCGTTCGGATTCGGACAGTGCGGAACCACTGAATCTCGGCAAAATCCTCAGAGATGCTGGTGTTACGATCAAGTCTTGGCGTTTTTAGATGCATTTTGAATGTTTCTGGTATGAGATTGAAAGATCCGCGGATTGCTTTTCGAATATTTTTTATTTGACCAAGCACTGTTTTGCCTTCTTGCATTGCACTTGCTAAAATACGGTGGTGCCGTGACCTGCCTCTCCATTGTCAGTAACTTCTTCATTCGGTCATTGACATCACAGGCTCTTCTTTGTGCTCTTATCTAATCATTTTGTGTTATTCTTTAAATACACCATTCCATGCTGAGTTGCTTAATCTGTAGTTTGTGAATAGTTGTGAGGCTTGTGGTTCACGTATCGCATCCGTAGATTGACATCGGAAGTACACACTGACTGAAAACTTTCGTCTCTGGCACAAGGACAGTTTTTGGAGTCACAGCGTTTCCAATCGTTAAGATGTGCCCCGTGCCACTTATACTCTTCTGTGGAAGAGATTAAGTGTCAAGACAGGCGTTGTTTTGCACTTTTTCAAGGCTAAGTATCTTGGTTTCAACCACTCACAGAGTCACATAGTTTTGAAACATGACCTTTGTTTTCAATTTAGGACGAAGCTCTTTGGACCAGATCTTTACCTTACGCGAGATTGTTGAGAAATCATTGGGGTTCGCTCATCCTGTGCACATGTGTCTGTGAACCTAGAGAAAGACTATGATCAGGTGCCGCGCAGCAGTCAGTGGGCATGTCTGCGAATATATGGGATTGATGGTCATTTGCTACGGGTCATTCACCGATCACAATATGTTGATATCAGGTGCTGCAAATCAGAGTAAATGGCATTAATTCGAAGCCTTTCAGCATTGGTACTGGTCTCCTCCTAGGCTGCGTTCTGTCCCCATGTTCATGTTTGTGTTGTACTTGGATAAGGTAATTAGGCGCAGGCAGGACCATGAGTGTATGAATGTAGGAAATCTATGGACGAGAAGGTTGCTGTTTGCAGACGGCTGTTTTGTTTTCATCTTCTGAAACAGGTTTCTGAAGCAAAATCAATGTTTTAGTTACATTGTTACAATTTGCAGTTATTAACTGACCTGACGAAAGCTACAGGATTACTAATTAACTCAGCATGGCTACCGCTGCTGCACCTCAGCGGTTCAGTGTCTATTCTTGTATTTATTGTTCCATGTGCTCTCTCTTAGAGTATATTTTTGCTATTGTACCACCTGACACAACTGCTTTCTTCACACCTTGAAGTGATTTACCAGCGTGAGATGCAGGGTCGTTACGAATCTTGCTTCGGATTGCAATCGTCACTCCATAGTTCTGTAAGTAATTTATGAAATTTATGTTCACGCCAGTGCTTCGTTGGAACTGCTTCGGAAAATGCAGCCTATACTCCAAGGAGAAAACGGCGATTTACACTCCTGGAGATGTCCATGCTTAGGATCTAAACCGAAGCTAAAATACTCGGTTGTGAGACGTACTTCTGTGATTGCCTAATCAATGGCCTGTCAACATTTCTGCATCTTATGCATGACAGGGAGGGAAGTTTGCAGGCTGAAGCACTCTTGAGTGCGTTGTCATCAGTTCCAACGTTATATCAATTGCCAAACTCGATTTTTGCCCATGTTGCGCCTGTAAGTTCCTGTCGTACTCTCAAAGAAGGGAAAGGAGAGGCTATCGTCAGTGCATTTGGAGGGTGGGGGATGGTACAGTGCTAAGACGTCTACTTTCAACTACGGAAGAGTCTAGTTCGAATCTTGGGAATGAAATGTTTACCTTACCCGCTAATTCTCTTTAATTAGCAAGCAATTTACCTGATGTCCCTTTGCCACAACCACCTGAAAATATGTAACAAGTCGTTGACTGGGGAACACCAAGTGCAGAATGGGGGCTCGGTTTGGTCATGCTGTCTGATACTCATTTTATGGTTAATAGGGTCAAGTTAATC